CACACACACACACACACACACACACACACACACACACACACACACACGCTGTGAAAGGAATCAAACAACACCAGGTGGAATGTACAAGCCTGTGCTAACAGGCAGCCTCTGGGTCTGGTTTTGAGGCATCACTGGCAGGCCACACAGAGCTGTTACTCATCCACACGGTTTTCTGACCAACACCTTCAACAAACCTTGTATCTACCTTTGACAGGGTCTTGCTACTATTAGTAGCTCAGGCTGGCCTCAAACTCCAGACTCTCTGCCTCTGCTTTTCAAGTGCAGGGATTACAGGCAGCAGGTGCTTTTGATACAATGTGTGTAAGAAAGACCTGTAGATCCTGCTCTCCTAAGGGGGAAATCTCAGAAAGCGCCTGGCTCTTTTCGTTAGAAGTCTTTCCATAGTAGAAGCACTGCCAATTCAAGACGCAGGTGAAATTGCTGGATAGCCTGCCACTTTGAAAGGACCTCAGAGTATAGCTCATAGTCCAATGAGATCCAGAACCTTTTAGAAGAAACTACATTTGGGGCTGCTGCTTGCCCAGGGTCATCGCAACCATACCAACCATGACACAGAAAGATGGAAAACCTAAAAAAATAAAAAAAAATAAAATAAAAAGTGTCTACCTTAACTAAACACAAGATAAGGAAAAGCGAACATGCTGAACAGCCGCTAGAAATATCTGCCCCAGTCAGACGCTCACAGCCTTTTGCCTTAAGCTGAAACTCTAGCCCCTGTACTGACTGAAGGCAAAGCACTGCTCACCCAAGAGCCTCTGAGCCCATCTGCAAAGTGTCCTCAGCACAAATCCACCAGGTGCCACTCTGCTTTCCAATTTTATCAGTCTTGAAGACTCTATTCAACTTGCTCTGAGTGTGCCAGCGCCAACTACCAACTTCCCATGATCCCTTAGTATTGTGTGGGATAAAAGAACACAAGTCTGGGTTTGTTTTTTTTTTTTTTTTTTTTTTTCCACCAGCTTTAGAGAGAATGAGTGAAGACCCAGGCAGATAACCCCACAGGGACCATTTGATTAAGAACTCCAGTTCTTCTCAGCACCAGAAAGTGGTCAGCCTGTCGCACAAAAACCCATATGAGCCTGACTCCTCCACAGGAGACCCACATGGATATAGCCTAACGCCTGAGATGATTCTTTCCGAAAAGGCCCAATGTGCACCATGCACAAGCCTGGCAGGGAACTGGCCTGTCAAGCCTTGCCATCCAGCCCAGTCCTGCCCTGGGCCTTGGGGATTATTTTCCATTCAGTTTTGCCATCCTTACTAAAAGGCTGGGCCATATCCACCAGTGTTCACATAGTCACAGGGCCTAGGTATCAGGAATCAGGAATCAGGAATCAGGGTGAAAATTTGGAACCCACAGCTACTTCCACCAGCCAGGTGTCTACAGGCAGGCCAAGCCCAGTGTGGGTAGGACAGGCTCTCGGCCACAGCTGGGGGTTCAGGCTTCACATATAGTGAGTTGACCAGAGCTAGCTCTATATGACATCTGCTGGACCACTTCCTCTGTGGGTAGGAATAACAGATGAAAAGCTGAGCTGACAGAAACATCAGTGCTCAGTGTAGTAGTGCACAGGTTTAATCCCAGCATTCTGGAGACAGAGGCAGGCAGATCTCTGTGAGTTTAAGGCCAGGCTGGTCTAAAGAGCAAGTTCCAGGGCAGCCAGGGCCACACAGAGAAACCCTGTCTCGAAAAACAAACAACAAAAATAAAAAACTACAGGGCAGGGGAACATCAGCACGAGCACCAGACCCTCAGTTCTGCTCTTCCTGAAATGAAGGAGGCTCCTAAGGACTCTAGGCTCAGGTAGCTGTGAGATGCTGCAGTGGACTGTCATGATCTGCAGAACCAGAGGTTAGGCAGAACCCGGGAGTCCTTCCAGAGCTGACCTGGCCAAGCCTTGGGAACAGGTGCACACTCACTTTTAGCCTGCCAATGAATCCGGCTAGACCCTTGGTCCCTCTGCCATGCGCCCTTCCAAACTGACCAGGTTGGAGCTGCTGCATCACCTCCGGGTCCAGTGGAAGGGGAGGCTGACAGAAGGCGACACTGGCGTGGCTAGGTCTGAGTTACAGGCTAAAGACCCTCAACTCCCCTAGGCCTTTGGAAGAGAATTAGATGGCATTGTTTAGCCACTCCCAGGGAGCACACAGAGGGAGTGTACAGGTTATACCTTCGCCTCTTACTGTGCCAAATGTCGCTCTGGAGAGGCAAGGGTTGGGTAGGGTCCCAAGAACACGCCGAGGGACCTGACATAAATTTAGGCAGCCACGAAGTAGGAGGTGAGAGGGCGGGGTCCCGGAGCTCACAGAAGGGCAGAATGGTTCTGGTGCAGGGTCCTGGAAGCGTGCAGAAGGGCTAGCGGGAGTCCGGAAGCGAACAAGGGTTGGGACCAGGTCACAGGATACCGGCCACAGCCCGCTCCCACTGGACACTCACAGTAAATGAAAGCGAGGGCCCGCAGGAGCACGACCCTGGTCAGCCAGAAGGTGCCCGTGCGCAGCCGAGCTGGAGAGGCCTCAGGATCTCCAGCCGGAGCGGGTGGCGACGCTGGACCCTGATCCGCATCTCCGACCTTCCGTTTTCGCAGCGACCCTTCGGGCGCAGCCATTACCAGGCTGTCTGGGCGCGTGCGCACAGAGGGCGGTGCGCGCGGAGGCCCCGCCCACACGCGCTCTCGGGGACCAAGAGCTTAGCCTTTGGTAGCCTACGCTCACGCTGCACGCCCTCTCCGGACAGTCTTCCCTAGCGGTGGGCGTCTCCGTGGTGGCTTCAGTAGATGCAGAGTCAGGAGCCAAGTGAAAGCAATGAGAAGGAGCCAGCCCTGGTGCGATCCCTCATTCTGGAGCGAGGAAGGTCAGACCTGTGGCAGTGGCAGAGCTGGGTCTTCATCCGCCAGTCTTCATCTGCCTGCCGCCCAGGAAGGCGCGGAACATGTTTTAGGACAGTTGGCAGGAAAAAAAAAAAAAAAAAAAAAAAAAACCCAAATTCGGCCAGCTTCCTATCTTACCTAAAGCTTGTCTGCGGGCCCCAAAGATCCCAGTATACAGGTGGCACTCCAATGAGGATCTGGAACCGAACTCAAGCCGTGCATGGGGCCAGCCGGCCATTAAGTACTCAGAGGGGAAGAATTTACCCACCAGTGGCCCAAGGAGATACACCTCAAACTCTGCTTTTACATTTTATTTTATTTTTAGTAGTTTAGCCTGGCCTTGAACTATATCGTCCAGGATGAAAACGGACAGTCCTCATGAGCTGCTTTTCCTCGGTGCTAGTATTATAGGCCACATGCCTGGTAGCAACTTTTTTTCCCCCCATGTTAGGGACCATCCAGTCACTGCATGCAAATGATACTGGCGAGTTACTCTGCAGCAGAGGAGAAAAGGACTGTGCAGGGCGGGGACATCACCAGCCCTAGGGGTTATAAGGCAAACTACAGGGCTCTCTGGAACTGGTATAGTGGTGGTGTTTTCTTCATTCATCTTCCAGAGCCTTTCATGCATTAAAGATCTTGTCCTTCTGTGATTTCTCTCTGTTTTTTTTTTTTTTTTTAACAGTTTGTCGTTAGTATCTTCTTTTTTCCTCTTGCTGTTTTGACATATAAACTACCAATGCTTGCGTGGTCAAACAAACCTATTCGTGTTTATGCCTCCACACCCACAGTGAGCCTTCATGGGTAAGGACTTGGTGTGCAGCTGTTGGGACTCTTCCCAGACTCCAGGCTTCCTGATACTGGAGTACCAGCACATAAATACATCCTATAAAGTGTTTTGGATGGTTCTTTTCTTCTTCTTCTTCTTCTTCTTCTTCTTCTTCTTCTTCTTCTTCTTTTTGTAAGTTTCCTTTTCTTTTTCTTTAAGATTTATTTATTTATTTTATGTATATGAATGCTCTATCTGCACGCCAGAAGAGGGCATCAGTTTACATTATAGATAGTTGTGAGCTACCATGTGGTTGCTGGGAATTGAACTCAGGACCTCTGGAATTGCAGACAATTGCTTTTAACTGCTGAGCCATCTCTCCAGCCCAAGTCTCCTTTTCTTTTTTTTTTAGTAACACTCCCATGTGAAGTATGCCCCACCACAGATGTTGCAATGGATAATACAAATACTTCCCCTGCCTCCCACAGGTCAGCATTTACAGACTGAAGGAACAGTTACACCTGTGTATCCTGCATCCAGGGCCTTCAATAGGAACCCTCACCCCTGCCTCTCCTTCTCGCTGGCATGTACCAGGCATGGGATGGGCCAGCAGAGATGTTTGGAGAGGGCAGCTCAAGTCTGCACAACTTCCCCAGGTTATTTCTGAAAGCCAGAGCTGTGCAGGGGATGGAAGGGGAGGGAGAACCGCTCCACCATCAGGTGTGACCCTAGGTGCTGTTGCTCAGGTGGGGACCATCCTCACAAAGGGCCCTTTGTCCTCAGCTTCCCCTTGCGGTGGTAACATTGTCCTCCCTGCAGAAGGGCACAATGGGGCATTGTGCAGAGCATAAAATGGGCCTCTTGTTCCAGCATCCAGCGCTCCAGCTGGGGCTGGGACTCAGCTCTAGGCTCCTTCTCTGGGTTTGCCCACGGCGGGCAAGACCATCAGAAGGGTCTGCAGGGAGCTCGTGTCCTTAGTGGCTCGAGTTTCTTGGCCCTGGCCTGCCTTCCTGGGATGCCATCTGGAACTGGCTTTCAAGCAGGTCACACAGGGCAGAGTTGAGCCAAGAAGAAGATAGTGTTCTTGCCCGTTTCTGCCTGAATTTAATAAGAAGTACATTGAGAAGCTGGGTATGATTGTGCACACCTGTGATCCCCTAATACTGGTGGTGCTGAGGCAGGAGGATCACAGCAAGTCTGAGCTAGCTTAAACAGCACTGGTGTGTTATTCACCCATAAAAAGAAATGAGGCTGAACATGCTTCAGTATGGATGAACCCTAAAACTTCGAGCTGAGACAAGCCAGATACGTTGTAGGAAATGTTGCAAAAGAGGCAGACACATCCATTAGGAAAGACAGCTTCATGGTTTTGCGGGGTGAAGGAGAAAGAAGGGGATACGGAGGTTCCTTCTGGAATGTTTTGAAACTAGGTAAACACAGGACAATGCTGATATCCTATATGCTGCTGAGTTCTTAGGTTTATATGAATTTCACTTTTTTTGTCGTTTTGTTTTTCAAGACAGGGTTTCTTCGTGTAGCCTTAGTTGTCCTGGACTCACTTTGTGGACCAGTCTGGCCTCAAACTCACAGAAATCCACCTGCCTCTGCCTCCCTGAGTGCTGGGATAAAGGTGTGAGCCACCATGTATGGCTCACTTTTCTTTTTTTTTTTTAATATAGCTAGGGCTGGCCTTGAACTTGAAACCATACTCCTGCCTTTGTGTTGTCTTGCAAGTATTGGGATTACAGATGTGTATACCAAACCTGGCTTCACCACAACTAAAAAAAAAAAGCAAACAAAAACCATGAATGAACGAGTCCCTTAAAGTCCCTTAAGTGGAATGTTTCACAATCACTTGAAGGAAGGTTTTGCTCCTACTGGACAGAGTTAGTTGTGGCTTATACCACATTTGTCTGAGTGTTGAACATCTGGCAGTTGAGCTCTTTGGTCTACGTTCAGCTGTGGTTCACAAAGCAAAACCTAGACAGAGCTAAGCAGCTGAAGGCTCATGTACGGGAGGGGGCCACAGGAGGTCCCTGAGATTTGCTCCTGTCACCTCAGAGGCCACCTATACGAAGCAGGCTTCTAAACATCACATTTAGCCAAAAACTACAGAAGCAGTCAAACTGGCAGGCCAGAGGGAACTAACATGAGAGACCCTGGGGCCTCTGGCAGAGAGCTCCAAAAAAGGAAGGGAAAGTGAGGAGGGGGTCTCAAGAGGGACTTCCACCTCAGGACCCGGCTGGTGTCGCTGGAGGCCCGGGGCTCACCCATTCCTAGTTGGGTCCTGTGCCCCAGCTGCCTGAAGCCTCCAGCACAGTGGCTGAGATGGGTATGAGGACAGGGCAAGCTGCCTGCTAGCTGGCAGCTCTCCCAGCAGCTGCGGAACGGCTTCACAGAGGAATGAGCTCCCTGTCAGCACCTCATCCAGCTGTCCCCAGGCACCCCAGCCCAGCAGTCCCCCACTGTCTCAGGGCTATTGTCCCTGACATGCAGTCGCAGCTGTCTCTGGCTCCCCAAGAACCTAGCTCGGGCTGAATATAATCATGCACCCTTCATTTACCCCAATTCTTCATGTCTGGAAGTCTGCTTGTGAAAGGGGGCCATGATCCACATCTGTTGCCTTCTCCTAGAAGAGTGGTCAGTTGGGCTGGTCGTCCCCAACTGTCCAGTGGCCAAAACCCATCAGAGACCAGCAGGTGTGGCAGTGAGCAGGTGTCATGCCATTTGCTGGCTGGACTGAAGCTGTGACTGAGGAGCGGCTGTTCTCTTGGCTACTGTCCTCTTCTGCCGCACCCTCAGCTCCCCCTGCACCCTACGGAGATGAAGCCTTGTGAGTCCCAGCGGCAGCTGTGACTTAAGGTAGAATGGGAGTAAAATGTCTGGGGTAGAGCCCTGCAGCAGAACACGCCTGTGAGCTGCGTTCTGAACTGAAAGGATTCTTGGAAAGTCCCACCCCAGAGGTCAGAACCCAGAGGCCTACGGGCTCCACTCTGTCCACAGAGCCATACTGTCACTAGGTCAGCCACCAAGTACCCCACCAATGCTGCATAACAAACAGCCCCAAACAACAGTGTATGGCCTGCTGGGCTCTAACTTAAACCTCCCATACCACATCCAAGGGAATAAATGCAGGCCAGACAGCAAAAAGCCATTTATTGGTGTGTTTAATTTATCCTGGGTACTGGTAGGTGTCTGTAACCTTCAATCATGGCAAAGGAGGTCTGGGCTGTTGGGGCTATTTGTGACATTTTTATTCTAAGTCACTGTTGGCCTTACTGCTTAATTTGGAAACAGGGTTCTGCTTAGGAAAGTTGCAGCTGCAGACACCATGGATTGAGAGGGAAGCCTTGCTGGATCTGAAAAGTGGAGCTTGGGAGGCTGAACACAGAAATCAAGTGGCCCATGAGTTTCTGAGTGGGTCCCCTCCGGTTTCTGCTCTCTGCCTTGTGCCTCACTTCTGGGGAGCTCAACACCCATTCTGGCATGCAGCAGAGTTAGGGTGGTGTGGTGCCCAGATGAGTACCAGGCATGGGGCTGGAGATCCAGGTGTCTAGTATCAGAATGAGCCTTTCTAAGTCCAGCTTAGGCCATGTTGATACCCTGTCACCAGACTTCGCCATCCCAGGAACAGATGCTGGTAGCTTTGTTGAGAGCTGCACGGAGTTCACTTCCTCCCAGGAAAAGCTGCTTAAGAGCTCCAAGGACCCTACTGAGGATAGCTTTGGCTTCAAAAACACCACGTGTCCGATGTCAGGGAGGAAGTACCATGAGCCACTGCATACTGTTGGAAGTCAGCTCCACCCAGGGCCCTGATAGGGTGAAGGATGGGGCCCAGCTTGAAATTTAGGAACCCAAGAGCAGCAGAGGGAACCGCGCAAAGCAGTGGAAGCAGAGCTGGTCCCGACACATCTCTGGCTCCTGCACACACTTGTCACATTGCAGAGGATAAGTGCTAGACTCCACTGCATGGATTAAATACAGCCCCTT